CCATATTCAAAGTTTTTTATAAGAAACACACACTTATTGTTTCTAAAACTTTGTATTTATTCTGAAAATGTCTGAAATATACATTCAAAACCAAGAGACCCTACCTGAAAATTCAGCTGAGATTGTAAACAAACTTCCTTTCACATTCAATTGGACAAAGTAATGTGATGTTTGAAAGACCACTGACTCTTTGTCGCTGTGCTGCACCATTTTCAACTTACATTCTTAGTGCAGTGCAAATACATGTGTCTTCGTTAGGTTTGTCTGATTTGTCAAAAACAGATGGTCATGTTTCATGTAGATTTTGTGTTTGCTCAGTAGGTGCTTGTAAGAACAAAAAATCTGAAACAAATTATTTTAATTGCTAAGTCTGTAAATAATATTCCAAAAACTTATAATCAGCAGAATTGGGACTAGCTTTAACTTAATAATTCCTAGCCCTTATAGAAAAAAAATTTTTTTTAATCTCAAAGCACTACAGAAAAGATGTTTTTTTCAAAGAAAATCCGTAGCTGAGAAGATTAGGACCTAAGAATGTTTTAAGGGATGTCTTAACTCATGTATTCTTAACTAAGGAAATTCAGAAGGAGAGATGTAGATTTTTTTTTTCCCTCTGCAGCACTGAGGATCACTGTACTCGCAGGAAAATCTTTTTTTATAATGTACAGAAAGGAATTGGAGACTTTCAGGAGATTATTTAATAAATAGCAGTGGCCACAGTAGACCTGCTTGCATCATTAATTATACTTGGCTTGTGCTGCGTATGTAATCATTGCTCTGGACCTTTTTATTAGAATACAGCGTTCTGTGATGATTAACCTGCGGGGGGAAAAAAAACCAGTGTTGAGCTCCTTGGCGATAATACATGATACAGCAGAAAAACACTCTTACGAATAACAGTACACTGAGGCAGGGGAAGCCTTAGGCAAAGTAATGCCACGGTGCCACCTAGTGTCACCCTGAGGAGTGCAACGGGCTGTTTTCCGTGGACACTCGGAGCTACGCACCCGTTTTTGGAGCTGATGTATTTAGCAGTGTGCACACTTGGTCTAGCGTGTAGACCCACGGTTTGCTTCGGGACTTTGGGGGAAGCCTGAAAGATGTCATACTCAAAGCCAAGCCTGTGAGAAAACAGCTGCTGAGTAAGATGTAGGCTAAGATGAGCAATTAATTTATGTAAGCCAGGCGCTCTCAATTTTTCTTTTTATCCCTTCATAAATGGCCATTTTATCGGACAGAAGGGCCAACAGAACAGCAAGATGAGAGCTAAGAGCTGCAGTTCCCGTTTATTGATTCAAAGATCAAAAGCCCAGCCTCAGGGCTGTCCTTCCAGGACCGTTCTTGCAAGACTGGCACTCAGAGCAGGACTGATATAGGAAATTCACATTTCTCAGAGGCACAAGACCGAACTGAGTCTCTTGAACCTCTCCACAGTAGTTCTCTGAGTCTGAGACAGTTACAGCAGTTGCTTACATTAAGTACGAATAAATAGGAAGGCATTTAAGATCTTTAGATACACATAGCGGGTGGAAATAGAAAGAGTACTTAAGCACCGCAGAACTAGATAATTCTTTGTGGATGACAAGAAAGGCCTTTGACAAAAGCCACAACATGACTGGCAAATAGAAAGGTCTTTTGCTGCTCCTTGTCCATGCTCAATTTGATTCAGACAGCTAAGTCCAAACTCTTCAGTGAGCTCCTGTATAAAGCTTGGGAAGTTTCCACACATAGGCGTGTAAGCAGGACTGGATGTGAAGAGTTATTAGAAACTGGGCAGTGCTTTCCCACTTATTCCCATGTTCCCAGACACATGAAGTCCTCCAGGAAGCTTTTTCCAGCTGTCATTTGTTATAAAAGCTGATAACATTTACCAATAACAACGGAGTATAAAAACTTCAAAAAGTGTGCATTATCTGCTGCCACAAACAACCTAAGAAATTGGCTGAGCTCTATGGGAAATGTCGGCTTGTTTGCTCAGGCTCACTTGAAATGCAAATAGTCATAAATATTCATGACAGTTTTATTTTTTATGAAACAAGCAGTTTGCTACAAGCTGAAATGCAGTATGTCATAGTGAATGTGAAGAAATATATATTCTCCTAGTATTGAGATTGACAGATTTTTGCATGTAAAAGTACCATAACTTCTATTTTAAATTTAGCCCTCAACCACAAAAATGGGGATTATTACAGTAATGAAACCTGAAACCTTTCTATCAGATCTTTTTTTTTTATATAATTATACTGGTTTCCCACAGTTGGACTATGAATAAGCTTCTAATAATAAGCTCTCAGCGTTCTTCCTGACGTGGTGGCGATATTCTTTACAAATCCTTCAAAGTGAAGAAACTGAACAGAAGGAAAACTCTGAGGCACAGTGGTTCATTACAGGACATGCTCTTCAGCCGGATAAATTGAAGGAGTGGCACCTTTGTAAGAAACCTCCAGAGTGTACGCCTCCAGCAAAGAACAGATTAGAAGGGAAAACAAACAGAACTCTGTCACATCAGACCCATCTCCCATTACCTCAGCCCGTTCCAGTTATCAGCCCTTTCGGAAGGGAAGCAGTTATTCCACTTTTGACTTGTAAATTCACCTGAAAACTTGTGATGAATTAAAACTGGATTTTTAAAAGGTAACCTTCGAGTTAGCTTAGCTTGAAAACAACAATATTAGAAATACGGTATCTCTTCCATGAAATAAATACTCATATCACAGTACATTCATATATTTTGACATATTTTATATGACATACCTTTTATGTTTTCTATATGAAAACAACAATTTTTATGTGTGCCTTACTGGTATAATGGGTAAAGACAAATTCACTCTCCAGGATCTTTCTGAAGGGAGACCTAATTCTGCAAAGATTTATGTCTATGCTTACTCAGAGTTTAGTGTATCTGCTAGTGTTTTGGAATATGGAAACCTTTCTTCTGCAATCAGTGAGAATTAACTTAAAAGCATAAACGTTTTCTTCATTTGATTTGACCTACCAAATGACAGGCTTGACCATCATTCAAGAGTGAGATCTTGGAGTTATGACAGACATTTCCTCCCCAAAATGTCAGATCAGTGTTGAGCCGTCGTTAAAAAGGTAAATCAAACTGGAAATGGTTTGTAGAAGAGCAGAAAGATGGAACAGCTTGCATGTAAGGAGTGACCAAGTAGACCTGGAGGAGATGACTGGAAGGGAATATGATAAAGATGGATGAACTCAAGTGGCATGGAGAAAATAGACGAGGACTGTTTGTTCCCTCTGCCCGTACAAGGACTAGGGATATTGAGTGTAGCTTGAGGAGCCAGGTTCAAAAGAAAAAAAAGGAGGTGTTTTTTCAGATACTGTCTATTTGAGCTCTGCAACTCCTTGCCAAAGGATGGTGTGGATAATAAAAGTTTGCATGGGTCAATGGGAGACTGAACACGTTTCTGCAACAGAGATCTGCTTTATTTGCTTACATTTGTTTAATGATTTCTTAATTCAGTATTTTTAATATTCTGCCTTTCTTTCTCTTGTCACATCAAGTCGTTCCTCTAAAACATTGTTGTAAGTGCTATACAATACACTTCCAAACATAAGCCTGATAAGAGTGGCATGCTAAATTAATACTTCTTTCTATAAGTACCCTCATTTTCAATAGAAAGATAATATTTCCTGGAAAAAAACATTGATAGGTGCTCTAGGCTAGCAATCTTTCCTATTGTGAGACCTCGATTACGAGGAGGGTGCCTTTAACCCTGCAAACACGTACGCGCAAGCCAGCAGAGGGTACTGTTAGCATAAATAAAGATAAAATGCAGTATTTCCAAGATGGTACGTGTAACATGGCCTCTGACAAATTTAACAGCGTGGCTCCTGTTCAAATGTGGCTTGACCATATTAACTTTCGCCTCTGGTTTGGTGAATGATACTCAGATAGGAGTGATGACAATAAAAGGGACGGATAGTTTACTTTCGGTTTGGTACAACGTCATTGTAAAATACAAGAAATAACGGCAGTGAGACAGCCCGTCACAGAGACTTAGATCTAGTGTAGATCTACAGGGAGGTTTTCAATTGGGGACGAGTAGCCTGCCCGTTCAATATTTTAGGAGCAAAGGCGACCGCCGGAGAGCCTCGGCTGGGCCTACCCACAGCTCCCGCCTACCTTCCCCCC